TTACAGCCGGCTGTGGAGTTTCTCCAGCTTTGGAAGACCAGGTAAGAAGCTCGAGCAACCTGGCAAGTGTAGAGCGAACTTGGGCCCATAGAGCCAATTGTGGTCCCAGCCAAAGCAGGACTTTCCACCAAGCACTCTGCTTTCGCTGGCATCACAAGGGCCGGAAAGAGTGGCTGCTCCTCTCCGAGGACAGCAGCGTGTATTTTGTTCGCACCAGCAAATCCGGCAAAACAGTCCGAGCCGGACCTTGTGGGCAATGGAGATGCATGGAAGACCCAGCAGAGCTCCACGGGGGAACGGGAGGCGACCCGCCCGTGCAGTGGCTTCGCCTTTTGAACTTCAATTGCACTGGCTGTGGTAACATTCCAACCCATAACCTCAACTTCGTGCCTGGTCCTGGGGAAAGGCAACCAGCGATCTTGTATGGAGAGGATGGAAGACGCATCGAGCTCCAATGTGCCCTTTGTCTTGAAAACTTCCTGGAGTGCACGTGGAGCTGGCCGAGCTTCGATCAAGCAGTCAGGAGACAGGTGTTTCTGGACGATGCCTCCCTGGCTGACTTGCGTCAGTTAGGTCACCAAGGTACGGAGCCCGCAGAATCTTCGCTGGCGCCGCTGTCTTCTGCAGCCAGCGCACATGGCTGGACCTTCCTTGAGGAAGGGTGTTCTCAGGATCTAGACTCCCCAGAAGAAGCATGCAGCAGTGAATGGCTTGAGTGTGGCTTTGAAGACTTGGAAGACATCCCCTGGGAGGTCTGACCTAATACGGCCCCAACCCACTCAAATTGCAGGAGCTATGCCCTGCCAGAATCAAGGGTGAGACTCTCCCCTCCGGAATCCAATGTCATAGAGGAGACTCTCCTTTTCAAGCAAGGATGTACAAATCAAAGCGAAACTGCTTGCAATGATTGCATAAGGAAGCAGGTTAGAGCGAAAGCAGTTCAGTGCCCAGTCCCGGCACCCCCTTTTCCATCCAACGGAATAGGTTCGCAGTTGTTCCGTTGGACACCCGGCAGGACTGGCCGCCATGATGCGGCCTGTGTTCAGCCTGACACCGGTTCGGCGCCCTCGGTCTGTCAAGCAGACCGCTGGACCGGGTTTTCGGGCTCAGGTGCTTGCGGGTACTTTCAGGCCCAACACGGGGTTCTCGCAAACGCAGCGCACGCACGGAAAACGTCAGTACCGGTCCCTGTAGATCCTCACTGGTTGATGAGGGGAGGGTTGCGCGCTGAGATGTTGAGGAACGGACGAGGATCCAAGTACACCGGCAGGTTGAGGCCGAGGGCATGATGCCCTGCATCAGTTTGGGGTTACCCGTGTTTGGCCTTTGAGTTTTTCCTTTGCTGTCCCTGCAGGGTGTGTTGTTTTCTCCTGGTGGTGCAAGCCCAGCCAGGAGGAGCCTAGCGGCAGGCGTTGTTTGTTAGGGACCAAAACCTAGGCTGACGGACAGCCTGAGGCACCAGATTGCGGAGGTTAAAGGCTGTGGCTCGGTGCCCGAAAGCCTGCCCAGCTGAGATGCCCAAATCAACCAAGCCCTCCCTGCGTGCAAGTGGTGTGGGTTCCTCTGGAGCCGCTGAGGTTGAATCAGTGAGTAAGAGCGAGAAAGTTGGTTCTTCCTCCCTGGTGAGTAAGTGCGAGAAAACCAGGTCAGCATACGGGGCAAACAGGAGCTCAGTGCTGCTGCGGCATGAGTTTCTGGGGCCTAGGTTAGTAAGTGCGAGAAAGCTTAGGCCTGTTCCGGAGGTTGGCGACTTTTGCCAATCCACTTGTTTGCAGTTTGTACAGGCATTGCCCATGTGTCGGTTCCGGACCTTCTGCCTTTTCTGAGTGAGCCGAATGTGGGTGAGTTTCTCCCCTGTACAGGCAGGGCTTATAGGGTAGGCAGTACAGACCAGGCAGTTCAACCTGCAGAACATTTGCCTAGGGCTTTGTATAGAGCCAAACCAGTGAGTAGCCGTAGGCCGCCGAGCTTCTCGCGGAACTGGTTAAGCCCTCAATGCTTTCTCTCGGTGTTCCCTGCACATAGTTCGGCCGTGTTAAGCAGGCCAAGGACACCTCGAGAGTTTTTCCTTTTCTGTGCATAGTTAATGTTTTCCGGAACTTCGGTTCCGAAGAGCCTAACCTGGCTAGCGACGCAGCCCGCTTTCGTGTGAAAAATTCACCTGGCTCAAGCTTTCGGCTCAACCCCGGTGGGGTGCCTTTGGTAGGGAGTTGGTAGCTGTCAACGAGCCTCGGGGCCCAAATCTGCGTGGGGGAACAGGCCCTTGGTCCAATCCCAGCTTGTCCAACTTGTGCCATGGCTGAGCTTAGGGTGTTCGCCTCCCTTTTGTCTCCACGGTCAGGAACCGCTGCTCACCGTCGAGGGTTCGCCTCCGTTGCAAGGGTGCATTGCATCCTAGGCCAGTCCCAGCCGGCGGGACGCAAGTTCCGGAGCGGGTGGCAATCTCTCGGGGGGGCTCACCTCCAGGAAAGCTTGAGTTTGAATAAGCACCAGCGCTTGGTGCCCCTAAACTAACAGTTTTTTCCCCAAAGTTTTGCTTTGTTTTCCTTTGCCACTTTGCACTGCTTGCAGTCATGCATGCCGCTGCATTCCTGAGATCATGCCGCCCACTGGCAGGAGAGCAGATGGGGGCAAGGTCTTCGCCAATGGTCACTTTTGGTTGTCTCTTGGGTTTAGGATTGCATGCATGCTTGGCGCTGGCAAGTTTGGTGGCAAGCGTGGGGACCATCCTGTGTGGTTGAGGCTCCTTAGGGGGGTCCCTTGGCTTCTTTGGGAGGGTTTAAGGTGTTGTTGAGGTTACCTATGTGTGGGCCACAAGTGTGCTGCCACCTCTGGCTATACCAGTACCATAATTACTGAAATTTTGTGCATCAACTCAGGCGCTATGCACTCTGGACATGCAGGAAGCACTCATCTCTCCAGCCTCTGGGAGGATCTTCCTCAGCGCCCAGGTCCTCCACTAAAGGGCCATGCAGTTACGTCCTTGAGTTGGGGGGCCAGCCCTGCCACCTGTGCAGGGTTTTGGAACAAGTGCAGGAGTTGCTACGGGCTCTTGCCTCCCTATCGCTTGGCGTTGGCAGAACCAAGTGTGGGATCCTCCTTTTACTTGTTGTTTTTATAGTTTCGGGCATGCAGGTACCCAGGAGTGTCCAGACCGTGGGTCCTGCCTGTGCTGCAAGCCAAGCCAAGGCAACAGTGGGTGTGTTTCATGGCTGGTGCGGCGTGGTTCCCGCGCTTGTTGAGGGGAGCGTCGACACCTGCGCGTGTGGAGGGGTGCGTTTGCCCTCACGCTTAGTTTGAGGGCTTAGCACCGGCCTTGACGCGCAGTCACCTAGGTTTGGATCTTGCAGTTGCCCAGGGTGGTTGGTTGGGTTTAAGGTCACCTTTGAGAGCGTATACCGGCCCACTTCGCCGGGGGCCTTTCCCAGCCACAGTGCAAAGGCAGTGCGCGCTTCTCTGTCTTCGCGCAGACCCATTCATTACAGTCCAGGCACCGTTTTCTGTCCTTTTACTGCCAAACAAGTCGTTCCTGCTATTTTGGGGTTTAGGATGACACGCTGAGCCCCAAATAGCAACATGATGTTGCTGGTATAGGAATTCGCCAAGATTTTTTGGCCAAATTTCCTTTTCTGCACAAAATCATTGAAGTTGGCCCGCCAGCATCAAAGATCTTCGACATCGAGTCGAGCGTGCATTGCAGGGCCAAATAGCAACATTACGTTGCTGGTATAGGAAATCGCCAAGGCTTTTTTGGTCAAATTTCCTTTTCTGCACAAAATCATTGAATTTGGCCCGCCCGCACCAAAGATCTTCAACATCGAGTCGAACGTACATTGCAGGGCCTGGACGCTGGCTATTCCTCCCCGGCTGGAGGTAAGTTTGGCCAACATGTGGCCTTGATGGCCACTCTGCTGCCCGTGGCATGCACGCGAGGGCAGTACTTCCACTCCTTTCCCCGTCTTTGGGGTGGTTTTCCCTCCCCGTTTGGAGGTAATTTTGGCAGACAGGGGGCCTTTATGGCCACTCTGCTGCCTGTGTTGAAGAAGGCAAGGGCAGTGCGCCACTCCACTGCCCGTCAATGGGGTGGATTTTGGTTGGTAGAGGTAGCCGAGTGCCCAGAGCTGCTGCGGCATGGGTGCTCTGGCCCCTGTTAGTAAGAGCGAGAACGCAGGGGCCACCTCGTTGCAGCAGGGTTTTGGGGCGTCGTTCCCAGCGCCTCCATAGTCGATGGGAAAGCGTCGCTCCCTGCGCCTAAAATTGGGGGGAGTGCGTGGTCCCCGCGCTTAACTACAAATTGAGGGGACAAAACCCTGCTGCGCCAGTTAACGTCCAGCCCAGAGAAGGTGAGCTGAAGGCCCCCCGCCCCCAGGCCTTGGGGGTTCTCCTCCCTGCCAAGTGCATTGGGGCGGGGCAGCAACACAGGAGGCCTAGCCCTGTATAGTGCAGTTCCAAGTTGAAGAAGACGCTGGGGGTTGACCATTCAGAGTCCCTCCATGTGATGGCATAGGTCCTGTAGCCTGTAGTGACCAAGGCTTTCTTTTCTCACCTCATTTTTCCTGTGGGATTTTGGGCTCAGCGCCGGCCTGGAAAGCGCCCGGGTAAGCAGTGCCGTAGGCAAGCACGCCTAGTCACAACGACTGTGGGTGTGTAGGCTGTAGGTGTCAAAACCCTTTTCCCCCAGGCCTGGCTCAAGGTAGCCACCCGGGTTTCTTAGGATTGCCGTTTCGGCGGCCGCGCTTCGCGCTTTGAGAAGAAAAATTCACCTGGCTCAAGTTTCGGCTCAGACCCCGGTGGGGTGTTGTGGTAGGAAAGCGGCTGTGAAACAAGCCCTGAGGCCCAAACCTTGTGTGGGGGAACAGGCTCCATCTTGAATCCCAGTCTCTTTGTAGTGCCATAGCATACCTTACCCACCGGAAAGGGGTTCGCTCCTAACGGGGGTTGACCAGCACACCCTCCCACCGTCATCGGGGGAGAAAGGGTGGTCAACACGGCCTCCCGCCATGGGTCGGGAATACACTGTTTGCAAGGGCTGCGGAAATTGGATCTACACAGATCTAATCACGCAGGACCTCAAATGCAAGAAGTGTGCAAAGACCTGGCCCACCAAGGGGAGGCGTCCTACAGTGTGGGAATCGGCCACCTGGAGGAACCCCAAAACCCCTAAGCCCAAAGCCCAGAATGGGGAGGCAATGGGGGGCACGCCCAACCCGCCGTCGCCCAAGCCGCCTCGAACCCCTAAGGTCTACAAGGCCTTGGAAGGGGTATGGGAACAAATTCCCGAAGCTGCCCGTGTTGAACTCTCCAAGGCCGGTTTCAGGGCTCCGGTGGAGGACAAGTCGTCCGATGAGGTGGCCCTTCTGGACCTATTGCAGGCCCATATTGGGGATCTGCCAGCGGACGTCCAGACAGCGCTGCACAACAGGAACAAGGTTCCTGATGTTCCGCCAGAAGAGGCCGCCATAACAGCCACGAACGAGCTAAAAGGGGCATCCACCAAGTTGCGGTCCCTAGGCCACCGCAAAATTCGTCTCCAAGCCAAGATTGACGAATCGAAAGCCGCCCTCAAGGCGTTGTATGTTGAAATGCAAAACTTGATGCAAGAGCTGAAGGCGGCTGAGGAAAATATGGAAACCCTTGCCAAGACCTTCCGGGACAAGGTACTCCAAGCGCCCGTTCAAGAAGAAGATGAGGACTTTAATCTGTCCGAGGTGCTTGGAAGCATTGGCCTTTCCCTTGATGAAGCCCAACTCCAAAAGGTGCGGGATGCCCAGGCCCAGCACAAGCTCCAGCGAAGGCAGAAGGCTGCGGAGCAGTTGCTGGCCCATGCCGGTTTCCCGCCTGGACTTGGGGGGAATCCTCCAGGTATAGGGGGTCAGGCCATTGCAGCCCAGTTGGAGGCTATTGGGGTGACCCTGACCCCAGACCAAAAGAACATGGTAATCACTGGGCAGTGGCCCGGCCCCTCACAGACAATCGATCTCAAGGCGGCAATTGAGCAAGGATGCCCCAACATGGAAATCGAAGACCTTGAGCTAAGAAGAGAAGAACTTGAAGGGCAGCTGGAGCGCAAACGACGCAAGCTGGCTACCCAAAGCGCCTCCCCACCCACCTCCGTCAAAGAAGGGGGCAAGGAAAAAGGGGAGCGCAGCCGCTCGCCCAAAACCAGGAGTTAGGAACCCGGCCGGGAGGGCGCCACGTGGGGTTTAATAGTGGGCTATTGGCCTCACCAGGAGCCCGACCTGGGGCCAGGAGGTTCGGAAGCCGAACAAGGTTTTGTCACTGTGTATAAAAAGAAGTGGAAGGCTAAGGGCCAGCTTTCTCGGTCCAAAGACGTTGAGAAGGCTAGCACCCGTGTGCCCTCCGCCAGCCTTTCAGGCACTCCCGAGTCCCAGGCTGTTTTGACCACACCATCCAAGCCAGGGACGGAGGACGATTTTGACCCTTCCCCCTTTTCTAGGGGGGTTTTTACAAATACTATCTCACCTGAGTGGAGGGAGTTCGGTGCTTCCCCAATCAATCTCTACAACCGGTTTTCAGCCCTGGCGGAAGACGAAAATCCCCACGATGAATTCACCTCCCTCCTCCTCAAGGCCAAAGAACAGTCACTTGCTGCATGTGAGGAGGAATTGGTGGAACTGGTGGACAGAATGCCGATCCGCCAAGGGTCTCTTGAAGAATGGGCGGCCAACCATGCGTTGCATCAACTTGCCACTCACAGAAACGAACCCAGTGTTTGTTTGGAGGCAATTGCAGATGCAAAAAGGCAGCCCAAAGACGAACCAGCAAAATTTGAAATCACAGTTGCCAACGTCACAAGATGGAGAGCTGAGATCAAAACGTGGCTCCTAGATAGGCGACCACAGGGGGTGTGTCTCCAGGAAACCCACCTCACAGCCAAAGAACAGCATCTTGCCACCCATCAGTTGGACCAGGCCGGGTACGTTGCCTGGACCCTACCGGCCCACCCAACTGAGGGGGGCAAAAACTCTGGAGGCGTCATGATCGCGGTTGAAAAAGATCGAAATTTCCGATTCCTGAGATCCTTTGGTGTCGAAGGTAAAGGGTATGTGGCAGTGGTAGGTAGAACAGGGAAGAGGGACATTGTTTTCATTTCCGTCTACCTTGAAACCAGTGTAGGCCTCACTGGAGGACACAACCCCACCATTGTCGGTGATCTTCTTGCCTTCATTAAAGGCCTTACCATTGAATGGTTTGTGGCTGGGGATTTCAACATCCCACCACAAGACATACTCGAAACCTCGATTGAGTCCCTCTTGCGCGGGAAAGTGCTAGCTACCAACGAGCCCACCATTATGGGTGGCAATGAAATCGACTTTGCCATTGCTAGCCACACCGTCTCAAATGGGCTCGAAATCAAAACTGATTGGGACGTTCCCTTCAGGCCCCATTGCGCCATTCGGTACACACTCAATGTAGGGGTTTTCCGGGTCTGTACCCTACAAGCCAGGCCCTGCCGAAGACCTGTTGACGATGAACAGGCACCATTCCAAGGACATTTTACCTTGGTTTATCCCAGCCTCCTCCTAGAGCCGAGGGCGGATGACGCCATTACAGCTGGGTTTGCCGGTTTCACTCAGCGTGTTGAGGCGAGCCTCTATCCCTCAGACATCAGAGGCAGGGGTTGCCAGGTTGAAACCCATATTGGACCACTAGCCCCGCCCAAACCTACAGGTTTCGTCTGGGCTGGTGGGAAGTCCAAATTCTGGGGTAGACTTGCGGTCTGGCACCGGCAAGGCCTCCGCATTGGTCTGAATCCCAAGCTTCAGCAGGTGGTCCAATCCCACCTCTCCCAACTCCTTCTCAATTGGGAGGAATGCGACGCATTCAGGTGCCAGACAGCGGTTAACCTCGTCCAAGAGCACTTTGGAAAAGAAGGGACCAAAGCCAAAGAGGTCAAACAAATTATCGAAACACAACGAAAACTTCACCTCAGGAAAGCACATCAGGAACAAGCCAAAAAGTACGAAGCCTGGCTCCAAGGTGATGGGAAAAACCATCTGCGCCACCTTTACCGGGCACTCAAGACTGAGGAAAACATCACTACTCGCCCATTTGCGGACCTTGCGGTGGAGGTTAAGCCTCACGCCAGAAGGGCATGGTGGGCTGACATGTGGGCCCCAAGTGGGTTAAGCGGCACTCATGGCACCGACCCTCGCTTGGCCTTGCAGAACAAAGCGAGGCAACAAGCAGCCAACCTCCCGCCCATTTCGGCGGAGGAATGGAATTCCCTCCTAAAAAAGGTCCCAAACAAAGCCCCAGGCCCAGATGGGTGGTGCTATGAAATGCTCCGAGCATTACCTCATGAAGCCATTCTTGAATTGGCTAGCATGGTTCGACAATGGGAAGTTGAAGCCCAGTTTCCGCAGCACTGTGATATCACACAGTATGCCATGCTCCCCAAAAATGAAACATCCGAAAGGCCTATTGGGTTAACCCATGTCCTCCACAGGATATTTTGCAAGGCGAGATGGCATCTTATCACAGAGTGGGAGAACAGTTACAACCCTACCTCTCCCTGGAATCAGGCTAAGGCAGGGAACAGCTCCCTTGACACGGCCCTCCGCCGCCTAATCAGGGCTGAAACTAACAAAAGAGAGAAGCGTCACACCATTACACTTCTCCTTGATCTAACATCCTTCTATGAGACTGTCCCACATTGGCAGCTCCTAGCCCAGGGTGTCAGACACTCCTTTCCCCCGCTTCTACTTGAAAGAGCGTTAAGCCTTTACTCAGGCAGCCGATACATAGAAGCGCAGGGGAGTCTGTCTCGCCCCATCCGAGCTACCAGAGGTCTCATAGCAGGTTGCCCTCTCGCCCCTGCTCTTTCCAGAGTTGTGCTCCACGATCCGATCTCGAAGATGCACTCTGCCTCCCCTGTACACCACATCGATTTGTGGGTGGACGACTGCTCAGCAGATTTTGTCGATTCTCATGCGCCAACAGTCGCTACTCAGGCCATCAAGTGCTACAGGGAGCTTAAAGCTGACCTCGAGAACCAGGGCCTGCTGGTCAGCACCACCAAAACGGCTTTCATCTGCTCAAACAAGGCCTCTGCCAGAGAGCTGCAATCCTTGCTCGGAGAACATGAACCCCCCATCAAAACCTTAGGCAAGGACCTTGGTCTGGATTATGCTGCGGGACAGAGGAGGCGAATCACAGTGGCCAAAGGCAGGCACGCTAAAGGAGGGCAGCGAGCCAGGAAATTGACCAAGCTGCAAGTCAAAAGCACTAGCATCCGGGTTAGACTCTTCAACGGTTCCATCCGGTCCTCCGCCTTGTATGGGCATGAAGGGGTTGGGGTAGCGCCTAAACGGCGCAAATGGTTCAGAAGTTTGCTTGCTGCGGCCTTGGGCCGACCCACGCTTGCCAGCACTGACTCAGCCCTTGAGTTCCACTCGAACAAAGTTGTAGACCCAGCCTACACCATCATGTCACAGCATTTCAAGGCGGTACGGCGGCTTCTTCTCAGCTGGCCCGACAGGGACATTGGCAGATTGCACCAAAGCTGGGACAAACTCGGGCAATGGCTGAGCGAAGCTGAACATCCCTGGAAAAGGGCGGCTGGACCGCTTGGAGCCGCCTGGTGCTACCTTCAAGAGTTGGGGTGGGAGGCTATCAGCCTCAGTAAGTGGCGCGTTGAAGGCGACATTCTTGACATGCGTCAGGGACCTGACTTCCATAGACTTCTTTTCCAGCTAAAACATCTAATTGACACCAGGCGACACCGCCGCATTGCTCAATCAGATGGTGGCAAAGGATTAGAGACAGGACCGGACTGGACAACCCCCAGAAGGCTCCTCAAACAAGCCAACAAGCAGGAAAAGGCGGCGCTCCAAGCGTTGTGGCAAGGCGCCGTCAAGGCTTCTCCAACAGCCACGTGTTCCCTATGCAACCTACCTGCCACCAAGAAGCATGTACTCTGGGAATGCAAATGGTGGAAAAAGCATGGTGAACAACCGCCTAGATGGTGGGAAGATTACCCGGAGCATCAATCCACCGATTGTCTGTGGAATTTTGGGCTCATGCCCAACCTTCCCAGGGAAATGCCCTCCGGAGATTCCATTCTGGAAGTCCAGGGAGTCCTCCGCAATCCAGACCAAATCCCTAAAGGCGCTTTCGCGGCCACTGACGCCAGTGGTGGCCCCACCACTGACCATCGGCTTCAAACCGTGGTGTGGGGGTTGATAGTCTATGAATGGTGTGGGGACACGCCCAAGCAAATTGGGTCCATTGCTGGTCTCCTTGGTAATGAGCAGTCAGTGTACCGAGGGGAGGCTAAGGCCATCCAACAAGCGGCCCTTCTCCTTCCAGAAGGGACCGACGTCACCAGTGATTGCAAAGGGGCCGTTGCGCGTGCCAGGAGGGGCCCTGCGGGGGGAGGAGCACACCAAGACATTTTTGGTACTGCGCCCACCCATGAGCTTCGCCTTACATGGGTCCCATCCCATTTGGGATGTGAGGAATTTAAGGCAAAAATGGGGGAAGGCCAAGAATGGCGGCGCAACATCAATGCTGAGGTAGATGCATTGGTGTCCAGACATGCCAAAGCCCTCTACAGCACTGAGCGTGCAGAAAGGCTGCATAAACATGACAAACTGGCTACCGATGTGGCCGGCTTTTTAGGACGCCGGCTCCTCTCCTTGCTTGAGGGAGGAAAAAAGGATGGCCCGCAAATTGTTTTCCCTAAAGATCAACCCCAGGAAGAACCGGCCAACCCTCCCTCTAGTAGCTCCTCCTCAAACCAATCCACCTTCTCCAAAAATCGGTGGAAGAAACGCCGGAAAATTCCGCAGGGCAACCAAGCCTCCACAGGCCCGGATCCCCCCGCCGTGAATCCGGCGGATGGCATTCCAGGGGGTGACGCTACCACAGCACGACCTGAAGAAACAGGGAGCCTTAACAAAAAACAAATTTTGGCAGGCTTGGTGCAAGGCACCCTGGACGTTAAAGGTCACACCTTTGTTATCACCCGGAACACCGTTAACAATTTACAAATCAAATGTGAAAATTGCGGTTTGTGGATTCAACAAGTTGACACCAAAGACACATTCAACCGAAAGACCCATAACCACTGCAAGGGTCATCCGGACAGCGTTCCCTCCCCGACATGGACGTGGCACGCATCCCACGTTATGGTGAATGAAGGGAACCGATGGGTGTGCACAAAATGCAGTAGCACTCAAAGTATTGGGGGGTTAACCCATGGCCCCCTTGAAAGACCCTGCCTACACGCCCCGAATAAGAGGCCCCCAACGCATGCCCTTAAACTCAATAGAGCAGCCCAGGGTACGCCGTCAGTCGCCACCTTCTTTGGGGGCCCAAGAAAAGGATAGTAATTTCCAGGATTGAACAATGTGAAATCTGCATGTTGTAGTGTCTTGCGTTAAATTACCCTTTCAGTACCTTTGCACATGCCTGATTTCCACTTGCCCAGCCCTCACCTCTCGTATTGAGTAAGATCCCCACACTGCAGCCGCTGGTCTCAAACACAGGTAGCAGCCTTAGGGCAGTTTAGCTACCTTAGAACCTGTAGATATGGGATGGGGCCAGGGCAAAGGAAAGGGGGCGCAGCCTCCTCAAGGCAAAGGCAAAGGTAAAGGGGGGGGGAGCCAACCTCCCGGAGCAGGCAAAGGGGGCCATCCTCCTGGAGGTAAAGGCGAGATCCCCTTCAAGCGGCCTTCCAAGAAGGACAGAGATCGCCTTAAGCAGCTGGGTTTGTGGCCACCTCCCAAGGGGCAAGGCAAGAACGCCCGAACAGGCCCACACCCGGCAGAGGAAAGGGGTCACGCCAGACCACCCACACCTCCCCCCGTCAGACGGCGAGCTCCAGCAGAAAGAAGTCCTTCAACGAGCCGCAGCCGCACACCGCGCCAAGAGGGGACTGATGCAGAAGCACCAGCTGCGGAGTCTCCCTCGCAGTCTTCGCACTCGACGGAGCTTCGACGAGCCTCGCCCGACCCACCGCAGCACCAACCTGAGCCGAGCCCAACCCCACCTGCCGAGGGGGGAGAGGCAGACACCAACCCAATGCCAGTCAAACAGGAGTCAACCGAGGAGTTTAGCTCCGGAGAGTCGTCTGAAGAGGCGGCACCTCTTCCACCTTGGCCTCTCCTGGCAGATAGCCTCCACCTCACGGTTGACCGGGTTCGCCGTAGCAACAACCGTGACTTCTGGCTGTCTAACCTCGGCCCAACCTTGTGGTTGGATTGCTTCCCAACCTTCAAGGATTCCAACCTCCTGGGCATAGGGGGAACGCGAGCAGTGTACACTTCACCCACCTCAGACGGCAAGGTGTGGAAGATTGCTCTCAAAGCAGAGCCCAGCCACCATGGGATTGAGCAAACAATTGGGCAACGGCTCCCAGGTTTATGTGCCACTCAAACCAGGATGGTGGGGACGGGGCAGCTCACCATCCGCGACTTTAAGACCCTGGAGATTGAGGTCTTGGAGGTTGAGCGTCTCACGCTGTTGCCTGACCAGCCTTCCAACCTCCAGGTCTTGCACATGTTCATGGTCCTCACAGCCCTTGTGGGTGCCGGCATTTGGGTCAGGGACCTGAACAAAAAGAATTGGGGGGTGCGTCCCCCCAATCCACACGGGCCCGATCAAGGGCCCGCGGAAATCGTGGCCCTAGATTGTGGGGGTTGGGCATTCCAAGATGCCCCGCTTGGTTTTCCCCAACGCGTGCGCATTGCCTCATGGTGGGGATGGATCGAAGCCACCACCCCCGAGGTAGCGGCGTGGGCCAGAGGCGTCGTCCGCACGGACCATGCTAGCCCGCGGCGACTCGCCATCGCCTTCAGGCAGCGCCTCCTGGCCACAGATGGGGGGAAGGAGGTTCTTGGGACTTTGGTCCGTCAAGGGGTCATCATCCCTAGTCCCTCGCTGAACCTGTGCCTCCCGATGACGGTCAATGGAGTCAACAGCAGCGGGGACTGGTGCTTCGCCTCAATTGAAGACCTTGAGGCGTAAACCCACCGGGAAGGGGGGCTAGACCCCACCTGTGCACACCACAAGCGGGGGCCTACGCAGCACCCACCGCTACACCTACCCACGCGAAAAGGGGGGAGCAGGGCACCTCTTGCAGGGCCTGTACCTGTACAGTCCTGTGTAGTCCAGCTCACCTCCAAAGAGAGGAGTAGGGTAGCGGCAGCTTTCTTTAGGCCCTCGTCCACTCTGCAGTGGTGTTTGCACAACTTCCCGGCAGGGATGCCCCAAGCCAGCCCGGAATGGCCTCTGCCTGTTTTCACTCACCCACCTTGGGGAGTATGGGCCTACACGGCAACCACCACCACACTTACCCACCCTTTAGGGGGGAGGAAGCAGGGCACCTCTTGAAGGGCTCGTAGGGCAACGGCCCAAAGAGGTCTTGAGCAAACCCTCCAAAGTGAGGAGTAAGTGTGGTAGAAGTTTTAGGCTCCTCCACCAAAGGTGGAAAACCCAAGGACGGTTCTAGGAATTGCCGTTTCGGCGGCCGCGCCTCGCGCTCCGAGAAGAAAAATTCACCTGGCTCAAGGTTTCGGCTCAACCCCGGTGGGGTGCTCAGGTAGAGAGCGTCTTTAGTGCCGTTGTGGCTGGCCCTGGGGCTTGTAACTAAGGGTAGGTTCCGTTTTGAGGCCCTGGCAAAACTGTGTTTGCTCGTAGGCCGGCTGACCGGCTAAGCTGTCATAGAGCGGCGGCCCGCCAACTGCTGCCGACGACGAAGGACGTTCGAGTGCACAGTTTTCGGCCTCGCTTCGCTAGAGGGAAGCTTTTCGTCCTCGCGTTGCTGAGGGAACCTTGTGGCCTACAGTCTGCTCTGGGTCACAGTGAGAGTTGCAGCCTCGCTTTGCTTGAGGGGTGACGCTAGCCTGTTGCTCACCAGAGATTCCTGCTGTCTCTGGGTGAGCAAAACCCACCGACCCTCATTTGGATTGAGGGCTGTGCTGAAGTGAGTTTGGGTTCCTCGCACACTTGTGTGGAAAACGAAGGTGAGACCGAAACACGGGGGAAAACGGCCAGGCACGCTGCAGACAGTGCAGGCCAACGTCGCACTGCAAGCGGCATCCTTGCAGTGGTGACAGGAGTGTCCCGAACAATAGCGGTGTGCTCGAGCCCAAGCTTGCAGGTTTTCGGGGATCGGCAAGCTGAGCACAACAGATTTTCTTCGCAGGTAGAATCAGGTAGAAAAGATTTGGCCCAACCCTGGTGGATCTGCCTGGACACAAATAACCAGAGGCATCAGTGTCGTAAAGCTCATTGACTGGTGCTACTGAGAAACTGTTGCCAAAGAACTTGCAGTAGGACTGTGGTGCGGCGCAGTGCAAGTTGAAGAGCAGCTGTTGGTGGCTGCTCCCCGGAAAACCAATAGTCCAAGAAAGCCTCCTTCGGCCTCGCTCCGTGCTGAGGGTTTGTAAGGGTTGGTATTGGCCGGAAGGATTCAGATGGAGGTTACCCGATCTTCGCGCTTTTCCCATCTGAAGGCAACCAATGGTAATCAGCCTGCTGGACATGGCAGGCCTGCTTTTGTTTACATCCACGTCTCCTGCAAGGGCTGGGGTCTGTCCGTGCACACAGACAAGGCGGAACCTTGCAGATGTTTAGGTCCTCGCGGCACGGCCGCTGGAGGTGTTTGAAGATGTTGGCTCTCACTGTCTGGTGAGTGGTTTGTATGGGCACTTGCTGGGGCAAGGCGGCTCTGGCGTCTGAGGATGGTACATGTGCTGGCTGCTGAGTACGGGCCACCGAAAGAGACCTGTGGTAAGACAAGCGATGAAAGGAGCCGAACTCCTAAACTCTAGGACAGGCTAGCTCACGCGGACGCCACGCAGAGTATGTGTCACTATCTTCAGATGTTGGAGCCAAATTGCCTCGCCGTGTGACGTGAGATGTGGTGTTTGGATTCGGCCTCAAGCACTGGAAGGCCTACAACAACAAATCCGAATGAAAACTGTGGTCCTAAGACACGCGGAGCAGCTGCTTATACGTGGCACCGCGGGGGTCACAAAGAGATAGAGGGCTTGCCAGCAAGGGAACTCTGTCTAGAGATAGCCCTGGCTCAGTGAGGAGCTGAGGGCCTGGCTGCGCAGATGCAGCGGAATGGTTGTTCGGCCTCGCCTCCGCTGAGGGAACAACAGTCAATGCTTCTCTGCAGTGTCGGTCCGGGTTAGTAAGAGCGAGAACGCCGGGACCTCGAGCTGCAGTTTTACCATGAAGCAACCGCGTGAGATGCATTATTGGTCAACTGGTGAGTAAGAGCGAGAAAGCCAGGGTGACGCTACTTTGGGGGAGGCTGCAAGGCACGGTTAGTAAGTGCGAGAAAGCCGGAGCTGCGGACGAACCTGGAGTAGCAGTCTTTCATACCTCACGTGTTTCACTTTGCGGCCTCGCATGCGCTGAGGAATATGCCTCGAACAGAACATCCAGTGCTGAGTGGGGATTGCCAAACTTACGGAGGCTGATGCCACAACAAGTGCCTCAACAGCAATGCATGCGGAGGGCAAAGTTCGGCCTCGCGAGTGCTGAGGTTTGCAGCTGAGAGAGGGCCTAGCTGAGAACGCAACACCTCAAGCGAGGTAATTTTTAGTTTAGTTTCACCTTGACCAACGGCCCCTTCGGGTGGCTACGCGACGCAGCGTGCAGACGAAAAATTCACCTGCCGTAGCCATTTGGCTCAAGTCTCGGCTCAACCCCGGTGGGGTGCGCAGGTAGTGAGCTGTTCGGTGGCCTGGAGGCTGTACCTAAGGGTGGGCTCCAACAGGACTCAAACCGAAACCACTGTGTTTGCTCGGTAGTTCTGCCAGCCACATAGCTGCCTGTGTACGGCCTCGCCGAGTGCTGAGGGAACTTTCGACCTCGCTGCTGAGGGTGTTGTCGGCCTCGCATAAGCTGAGGATTGTGGAAAGTCTTCGGCCTCGCTCGGAGGGACAACATAGTTCGGCCTCACCACGGTTGAGGGAAACACCTCCTGGAACTGAGGTGCAAGAAGATAGCAGACCTGTGCGAGCGAAGAGGGTTCCGAGGCCTTAACTTCCTTTGTTGGAACAGGGCCCCGTCTCAACCGCAGATTTCCGCTCGTGGGCTATCGGCGACCAGAGTGGCCGTCCACAGTGCCCTGGACAGTGTGCCACACGCCAAAGAGACTTGCTGCAAGGCAGACGGAGAGCGACGGACCATGCCGGCAATTGCGTGCTGTGTATTTGCATGGTCACACCAGGGGCGTCGTGAAGGGCTTTTCCTGGAACTGTCGCAGTCATATCGTATCCACTTTGTCCGTCGCACCAGGAGAGGCAACATAGCCTGGGGCAGCTGTGGGAATTGGAATGTCCAAAGAAGCCTGAATGCAGCTAACCTCCACCTGCAGCTCCGGGATTTCCGATGCTGTGAGGATGCGAGGCTTTGGAACATCGATTTCTATGTCGATCCCACAAACCCATCCCTGATGATTGATGGCAGCGGACGTGAAATCAGGTACCTGGGTAGGCTGGTGATTATGGTGTATGGCCCTGATGTGTCGAGAAGGATGCTGGCCTTGTCGGAAGATGATGAGGAATGGATGCTCCTTTGAGGTGATGAAACGTCGCCGGCCAGTAACCAGGCAAGTGGAAGTGGATTGAATTGCGAGCACAGCCTCGCCATTAAGGGCCATGTGAGGGCAAACCCGAATGCAGGCTTAGCTTGCCGGAATGAGGGTGATCAACATACCCTCGCAGCACAATGCTTTCAGAACCCGTGAAACCAGCGGAGATGCCATGTGAGGCTATGCAAGGGCAGTTTCGGCCTCGCTATGCTGGAGTAAAGGTTCGGCCTCGCCTCGGCTGAGGGAATGGATGGTTCGGCCTCGCCAAGGCTGAGGGAACAACAGAAGGGTTGCGAAAACGCCTCGCTGATGAAGAAGGTGCATGATGTTCCGGCCTCGCATCAGCTGAGGGAAGAATGATGGAATGGGCAGGCCGGGCACTTATTGGTCTGCCGGAATTGAGTCTGGGAGACTCTGGAAGCACTGCATGCAGCTTGGACGGCTGATGCTACTGGGCGCAAAGCGGTAAAGCAGCTTGAAGCATAGACTCCGCGGTGCCGGTGTGTCGGAGCAATTGATAGGTACAACCGCAGCCCAGCAGTGCTCAATCAAACAATGCAACATTCGGCCTCGACTTTGGTCTGAGGGAATGTGAGCTATAAAGAGCAAACTCCAGAATATGGATGAGGGACACTGGCCAGGCATGGAGGCCAGCAAAGGGCAGGTACCAGCATTGCACTGGAGAAGCCTCGAGTCCCAATGGCAGTGAACTTTGTGGTGAGGAATACGTCGACTGGTAAGTAAGTGCGAGAAAGCCAGGGCGATTCTGGGGAGAACAGCAAGGCACGGTTAGTAAGTGCGAGAACACCGGAGCTGCTGAGAACCCTGGATTAGCCGGGACGTACTCCGTGGAGGATTCGTTGTCACTGCTTTCAGAAATGCCCACAAGGACCAAGCATGCAGCTAACCCGTGGTCGCAGAGTGGGCCTCACTTCGGTTGAGGGTAATCGACTCCCAAGTGAGAGTATGGAGTTTTGGTGGCAAACAAGAGAGCCAGCCGACTGTCTTTGGAACAATGGCTACGGCTGGATTGGAGAATGTCAAGTCTCACAATGGATAGCGGCCTCGTACATAATATCCTCACAGGCAGGGTGGGTTTGACCTGGTAGTCGGCACCTTGCCCGGCCCCCTGTCAGGCGCCTGTACCGGCCACCTGTTGAAGGTGTGTGGCGTGGGGTCACCGGTGCGTAGCGGCGATTTCGGTCGCTTAGCGTCCTCCAGCCTAAAAAGGGGTATGTTTGGGCAGGTACTTCACCTGTTCCTCCTGCTTGGCTCGTGTTGGAGATGTGTGAATCGAGGGCATGGATCCGTCAAGGTGAGATGACGAGAAAGTGCAGAATTGGGCCTCAATCAATATGGAACGGTCTATGGGGATTGACCACCCCGCTGGTAGAGGGATAGCGGCCTCTGAGAA